ATATACAAAAGCACTTAATTTAATGTTTGTTTAATGAATGAATATTATTAAGACAGTAGAGATCAGCGTGGACTGGAGTGGGATAATTAAGCTGCCTAGGAAAACTGGGTGTTAAGCTGGATTTTGAAAGATGAGCAGTATATGGATCAGCATATCAGGAAGAGAGGAGCATGGACAAAGGCAGAGGTAGGATGGAAAGACAGAAAGACACACAGGAGAGTGGCATCAGTGGAATGGCAGATGGGGAGTGGCAGGAGACTGAACAGATCCAAGTGCACTCTAAGAAGCCTGATAGCTGGGCTGAAGAATATAGGCTTGAATCAGTAGGCAAGAGGGTTTCATAGTTTGCAGATTTCAGTTATTTGGCAGTGAAATAAACAGACTGAAGGAAAACCTAGAATTATGAGTGACAATAATTAGACTATAAAAAAGGGGAGAATAAAAGGGAGTTATAAGAGAAAAAAGGATAAGTATAATTCATTAGTCTTCTTACTTGGAAAATAATATTAAGTATATTAATACTCAAAGTATAAAGACTTTGTATTTGCAGTGAACCCATTTTCCCTGAAGCTAATTGACTATTTTCAGTTTTTGCTTCCTGAGACCTCTACAAGTTCTTCCCTAACTGCCCACACATTCATGGAATGATGTGTTCATGAAGCCACTGTATCTCCACATTATATTTTAGAATTTCTTCCAGATCTGAATCTTTGATGAGATTCTAAAATAATAGGCTAACCCGTACCTTCTTTAATATGCTTTCCAGCTAATTGAAAAGAAATCACTGCAAGTATGAGGTAAATCTGAAAATACATTTAAAATTGTTAAAAGATAACATTTAAAAAAGTAAATGGTATTTATCTAGAAGTTTGATTATAAACTAAATTGGTTTTATAGGGTTTTCATAGCTATTTATACTTTTATAAAGCAAATCCTATTTGAGAATTAAATGAGTTCTTCCTAATTTGAAGATAAATATTTGAAAATTATTTATAAAACATTTAAATATTTTTGAACATATATGCCTATATTTGCCCATACATACATATACATGTTACTTCAGTGAAACATTATGGCTGAATGAAAGTAAAATTAACTCGTGGACAGGAAAATACTTAGTCTTTCAGCCTTGTCTCCTCAGCCATCCATTCCCTTGAGAAAGCAAATTTTGTTTAGACACAAAAGAAAAATGTACTATTAAAATGCAATTCAGAAGTGATAAAAACTGTAAGTTCAGCAGCCGGCTCACAGCACCCCCTTTGTATACTCAGGGACATTGGGGCCACATTAATTTGTGTGTGTGTGATGTCCATCCCATGTGCAAATTAGCACTGGAAGGACCATAATCTGTCTTATATGAGAGCTCTTTTCCCAAGAGCGTGTGTAATACATGCTTGTGTAATTTTGTGTAATTCAAAGCTCTGTGTTCTGTTTGTTTTTATATTTTAAATAGTATTAGAGATGTTTTCTTAGGAAAAATATTAAAAAAGAGTTTATTAATAAACATTAAAAAGGAAAAAACTTTAAAGGGGAATTGTAGAGAAGCACTAAAATTAACAAAATAATGCTGCTTTCCTTTATTATTTTTTAAACAAATTTATGAATATCATGGCAAAGAATCAAATTTTCAGTTCAGCTGAGATAATAAAAACCTTCCTTGTCTTAATTAAATGGGATAATATATGTGAAAATATTGACATACGGTTATGGGGTCAATAAATCTGTTGAACTTCAACTTTATTTTTTCAAAGCCTGAATTTCAGAATTTTCTTCTCAGCAGAATATTTCATTTTGCCGGATATATATATATAATATATATATATATATTTTTATTGCCCAGATCTCTTTCTCTAGTTTCTTTTATTTAAAACAGCATCTAACTCCAACTTCATTAGCACCATATCCTCTTTGATTATATTAATTAAAATTTTTGAGGTTTACTCCTATTTCCTTCATTAAATCTCTTTCCTCCAGATTATCTTTTGTGTTTGGATCTGTGTCTTTCTTTCATGTTGGTAGTTTCCCCAATTGGTAATCCATTCTTAGATTCATATTAAAGGAGACTCTAAAAATCAGACTAGAAATATATTTGTACGTGAGAGTCGCTTTTTGATCGACTTTTAATTAAGAATTCTTCAAATGTCAATAGTTGAAGTTGTTTCTCTGGGCCCTCCCAGTATCTTTTTGAGAAGATGCATTCATGTGAATGAAGTATTTAAGTCCAGCTGCCAGCTCACATAGATACGAGCAAGGGAAGAGTTCAATGAGTAGATACTTACATAACTAATGAATCATTGAACACTACATCAAAAACTAATGATGTACCATACAGTGGCTAACTGGACATAATAAAAAAAAATAAAATCATATATCCCATTTGGTGCCTCCCATTGGCCTGTGCCTGCTTCCCCTGAGACCAGAGCTCTCTGGTGTAAAGTTTCTGAGAAAAGGCTCTTCTCATGGATGCATGGCCTAGGAGAGGAACGTGAATATTTCTTTACTTCTTGCACAGACTTTTGATCTGTTCCCAGTTCTGTCCCTCACCCTAAACTTCTGCAATAACTGTAGCTTTTGTTCCTGAGCTTCACTGGAGTTCTGCAAAGTGGCCCTTCCCCTTTGGCCTCTCCCTCTTCTGGAACTGAGATTTCAGTTTTTTGAATCTCCTATCTGCTCCTCACTGGGCAAAAATTTGTTGGTATTTTCACCTGCTGTTTCTCCTCTCTTTTCCACTTTCTTCTTACAGGTTTATAACTTTTTTTTTTTTTTAATTTCTTTACTCTTATTTCAGAGGGTTCTGGTGAGGTATTTAAGCATTTCACCACATTACACTAAAAGTATTATCACAGTCTTAGATGTTCCGTGAAAGATTATATGGGTCTTAAAATTTTGATCTTTTATGTTGATCATGATAACACATTAAGATAATAATGCTAATGCTAATGCTAATGATGGCCATGGGAACAAGCTACTTCTACATTTACTTCTACTTTTAACACCCCCATTATTTATTGGGCATTTGCTCTTTCAGCCTCTATGTTAAGCTTTACATATACTAAATTATTCATTCCTTACAACAACCCCATGTGGAAGTAAAATCTCACAGAGGTCAAGTAACTTCTATAACGGAACAGAGGTAGCAAGGGCAAAGCTAAGATGTGAATACTGGTCTGGTTGACTCAAAAACCCCATTATTTATAACCCCTACCAAAAATGCCTTCATTATTTCGGTGAGTTAAAGAATGAAATTGAACCACTATCTTATTGTATACACAAAAATTAACTCCATATGGATTAAAGACTTTAATGGAAGACCTGAAACCATAAAACTCTTAGAAGAAAATCATAGGCAGCAAGCTCCTTGACATCAGTCTTAGTGATGATTTTTTTTTGGGTTTGACACCAAAAGCAAAGGCAACAAAAGCAAAAATAAACAAGTGGGACCACATCAAAATAAAAAGCTGCACCGCAAGGGAAACCATCAACAAAGTGAAAAGTCTACTGAATGGGAGACAATATTTGCAAATCATATATTTGTTAGGAGGTTAATATTTAAGTATATAAAGAACTCATACAATTCAATAGCAAAAGGAAAAACAGTTTAATTTTAAAATGGTTAGAGGACTTAAGACATTTTTCCAAAAAGACATACAGATGGCCAACAGGTGTATGAATAGATGCTCAACATCACTCATTATCAGGGAAATGCAAATCAAAACCACAGTGAAGTATTACCCTACTACACCTGTCTGAATGGCTAGTATCAGAAAGAAATAACAAGTGTTGACAAGGATATGGACAAAAGGAGACCCTTGTGTACTGTTGGTAGGAACGTAAATTGGTGCCGCCACTATGGAAAACAGTATGGAGGTTCCTCAAATAATTAAAACTAGAACTACCATATGATCTAGCAGTTCCTCTTATAGATATTTATTTGAAGAAAGCAAAAACACTAACTCAGAAAGACATATGCACCCCCATGTTCATTGCAACATTATTTACAACAGCCTAGATATGGGTTGAAGCAAACTACATGTCCATCACTGGATGATTAAGTAAAAATGTTGTATACAATGGAATATAATTCAGCCATAAACAAAAATCTTGCCATTTGCAACAACATGGATGGACCTCGAAGGCATTATGCCAAGTGAAATAAGTTAGACAGAGAAAGACAAATACCATAAGATCTGACTTATATGTGGAATCTTAAAAAAAAAAAAAATGCTGACAGATACAGAAAACAGATTGGTGGTTGCCAGAGACCTGGGGTGGTGGGTAGGTGAAATGGATGAGGGGAGTCAAAACGTACAAAATTCAAGTTATAAAATCAGTAAGTAATTAGGACATAATGTACAGATGGAGATGTAATGTATAATGGAGACTATAATTTATAATACTGTACTGCATATTTTAAAGTTGCTAAGAGAGTAAATCTTTAAAACTTCTCATCACAAGAAAAAAGATAACTATGTATGGTGATGGATGTTAACTAGACTTGTGATGATCATTTCACAATATATACAAATATCAAATTATGTTGTATACCTGAACCAATATAATCTTGTATGTCCATTATATTGCAATAAAAAAAAGAAAAAAACTTTGAAGAAAGCCCATTTCAATGAGAATTTCCTATACTGGGCCTCCTTTTCATTTTTGGATGCCATTTTTAAATTAACATTTTTATTTACACAGTAAATTTTGAATTATTTGGCATCATTAATTGATAAATTTATTCTTTAAAATTTTCTATATTTCCAAAATATTTGAGACTTATAAAAATTCTGTAAAAAAAGTCTTAGTATCTCCTTTTGCTGAATAAGAAGTGAAATTCATAAAAGTTAGTAACAGAGATAGTGGCAGAGGTTGAAGTGGAATCCAGGTATTCTGATTCCAAGCCATGTTTTATTTTCACTATGCTTTACTACTTCTCTAAATTCTAATGCCTTTAATCAAATGTCTACAGAAATAAAATTAACATCACTTAAATGTTCTTTCAGGTTTTTGCCATTTTCTTCCTACCATAAAAATAAAAAGTATACCCCATTAATGCATTCATCAAGCAAGTATGGTCCCAATTCCTATGGAAGTCAACACTTTAGAGATGAAAATCCTAAGAAGTGGATCTGTGACAAGGTAAGTTAATGCAACATTAAAAAATAATGTTCCTTTGGAAAGGCTAAACATATACACTGATTACAACAAATATAAATATTCTCATTACAGTTAACACCTTCATGGTTACAAAATTATTTATAGCTATTTCATGTAGAGATGACACTGCTGACTTCTCTAGGCAGTAAGAGATTTATGTTTTTGTTTTTTAGTGTTATATGTTTTTATGTGTAATGGCTCAGCTACCCAATGATCTATGGCATGCATCATGGCTTTCCCAAAGCCAACCAGGGTCAAAACTTGAATCTGTGGTTACAGAATAGCCAAGCTCTCAAGACATGGAGATCAGCGCTTGATTGCTTTCTCTCAATCTCTGTGTGTTTGTGGATAGATAGATAGTAAATAAGTAGGTAGGTAGATACATAGATGGGAATAGATAGAGATATATGTGATATGTATATATATACGATATAGAAAAGAAGAAAGCAAATATTTATTGATTCCAGAGTTACATTTGTTAGCATTTAGAGAAAATTTTCTGAATAGGGAAAACACCAAGGTGTCTTACACCAATGTAAGGTAAAGGAAAGTTCTTACTACATGTTAAGCCTACTATCTAACAGAAACTATAACTAATTACGCAGATAAAATCAAGTTGTAAGTGACACTCTGGAAAGGGGTAAAGCCACTGAGTTCCATAGGGTATACCAGAGGTATTGGTTCTATTAATAGTTTGTCAGTGAGGATTTATTCATTTACACACAGCCTCCTTCCAAAAGGATTTAAGACACATTACTAAAAGGTAAATACAGTAAAGGTTATATTTTAGAAATAAAAATAGGGGTAAATGATCTTAGATGAGAATGGTGTCTATACTCACAAAATAAAGGAAACCATTACAGCAGTGGTAAGTGATTGGAATTTCAGCTTGTGGATGGCAAAAATGAAGAGGAAAACAAAAGTTGCAGACATATCCTCATTACTCAAGAGGAGGACATATGTTAGACCCTTAAGAAAAATGGTATCTTTATTTTACCAAACTCTAAGAAAAAGACTTTTTTTATGACATTGTAAATATGGGATTACCGAGGGTTAGTCACTGGGGAGTAACACAGATACTTTAGAAAGTGCCTTTTTCTTTTCCACCTGCTAAGTCCTCTTTCTTAAAAAATGATCTAAAATACTAAACAATAATTCCACATCATAAAGAATAGGTACGGTGAGTAGTTCAATTTGGCTTACTGATTGAAAAACCTAAATACTGGTGACGATGTTATTCTTGGCATTTGTTTGTACTTGATTTGCAGCCATTCAGAATATAGGCTCAATATAATATTTAAACTATTTAATTTCATATTTTGAATGTGCATAATGTGATCTACATCTCATTTGCTATTTGACATAAACATTTTTTGCTTTTATGTCCCCTCACCATTTTATTTAATTCAAGGAAGTGTTCGTTTCTTTAAATATAAATGATTTACCTCAGGACACTAAGCTACTTCTGAGTAAATAAGATCCTTGTGCAAATGTTTCTTTCCTAGAATAATACAGTTTTCTGTATTATTTTTGGCTTTATATGACAGATTCACCTCATACATTCTAACATATTTTAGAATATGCATCTATCTTACAGAAGTAAGCAACTTCATGGAAATATAGAGACTTTTGGATACTCACTAAAGAGAAAAAGTTTATTTTGTTCTTTTGAGGAATCATGTGCCCCTCCATACTTTTAGAAGGTATACATACTTAACAAGTTAATGACAAATAGTTGCTCTTGTAGACCCCGAAAATTAAGAGATATATAGGGATTTTTTAAGTCTTTTTTTTTTTTTTTAAGATTTTATTTATTTATTTAACAGAGAGAGAGAGCACAAGCGGGGGGGCGGGGAGCGGCAGGCAGAGGGAGAAGTAAGCCCGATGCAGGACTCCATCCCAGGACTCTGGGATTATGACCTGAGCCGAAGGCAGACGCTTAACTGACTGAGCCACCCGGGGGTCCCTGGATTCTTTAAGTCTTAATAAATCATGAATCCACTTAACCCTACATAAAAGCATGTAGAAAAATACTAAATGCAAATTGAAATTCCTTTTTTCCCACCTTCCCTCCCTTCTTTCTTATTTCTTCCTACTTTCTGATCTCTTCAAATAAACGTATTAAATAAACAAATTATCTTTCTTTGTGGCTAATGTAATCCGCACGATAGAGAGGTAGCCATTTTATTGTTTATATGTTAAATCTTACAACTATTAGACATAATTTATATTTTGATTTGATGTTAAGTCATTTGGGTGAGAATTGGGTCCAATAAAAACTTAAGTTTCTTGATTACTGAAGTTAGAGGCCACAATTTATTCATTATTAGTGGAGTCAGGATAGTTTTAGGTAGGCTAGAGTTATTAAGGTCAAAATATTGAAGAAGAAAGGCTGACCTGGTTTTATGCTTCTTTTGTGGGAAGATGGACTGTTTACAAACATTTAAATTATACATAACATTTAGGTGAAAGCAATAAATTGATTTCAGCCAAGAAACAGCTCAATTAAATATAGTTGGTTCCTGTTCTCTACCTTTTCCATCATGTTTTAAGATTATCTACATGGAGAATTTCCTTTTTTTCTATCATCTATAAGCCTGGAGGTTATAATTTTCAAATCATTTGTTACACAGTGATAAAGGGTATCAGTTGAGAGAAAATCAAATGTTAGATACTCTTTCTCTGATCACATTCACATTAACTCAATTAAATATCAAATATTGTTTAAATATTTTTGTTTTATTTTTAATGCTACTGACTCGAAGAACACTGTACAAAGACATCAGAAAGTCAACAAAGGGAGAGCCAATAGTACAGTTTTTTCTTCATAGTATGAAAATCAGTAATGAAAAATAACATATATCATTTTTCTTAAAAGCATGGACATCTGTAATAAAAATGTAATAAAACATATCATATTTCTTTTTTATGTAATTAGTGATGATAACTTTTAATCAAGTTAAGTTATATCTTTTTTAAAATTTTTTATTGAAATTCAATTTAGTTAACATATACTATATTATTAGTTTCAGAGGTAGAGGTCAGTAATTCATCAGTTGCATATGACACCCAGTGTTCATTGCATCAAGTGCCCTCCTTAATGTCCATCACCCAGTTACCCACCCCGCTACCCACTTCCTGTGCAGCAACCCTCAGTTTGTTTCCTGGAGTTAAGAGTCTCTTATGGTTTGCCTCCCTCTCTGTTTTCATTTCATTTTATTTTTCTTTCCCTTCCTTACTCACATTTCTTTAATCTATTCGCAAAATGCCCCAAGTTGTTAGATTCAAGGCCTGTGTCTTAAATGGTAAAACTTTTTAAGTTCAGGTAAATAATTTGTGTTTATAAACTCTTTACTGTGCTGATATCAATATTTAAAATAGAAGTGAAATTCAGTAAGGAGCATATACCAGTCATTCACTATTAATTTAATCTATTTGGGTAAATTTAAATGAGTTGGACGATACAAAAATTCAGTATACTAAAAACATCCTTTTGGTTGTCAAAACATTCACATATGTTCATATTTACTGAAGCAGAAATAATAGTCAAAGGCCTTTATCTGAATTGGAATGAGTTCTCATATGCATTTTAGACAACTGATTTTAATGGAACTATTTCGTGTTTTCCCACGTTTGCAGAATTCAGGAAGAGACTTTAAGATGGTTCATGTTGCTAGAGCCTTTCTTCATCTGCCTTATTGTAGGTGAATTACAACATTAGGGCAGCCCTTTCTTGTTATTTTCACATGCATTTTGGTCCTAAACAGGATTTCATAAGCCACAAAGCATAAAAATATCTAGTACTCCAAAGAATTAATTTAGAGAACCTAAGCATATTGCACAGAACATAAAGTTGACCTTTACCGTCTACGGCTTTTGGAATGGAGTGGGATGTGGAGCACATCATAGATTTAATGTGGCACATCGCTGTCTGCAGAAGCTTGGGTGGGACTGGGACTGCTTGCCCATGGCACCCGGTGATTGAATCTGCTGTCACCAGCATCCTGATAATAATGAACATTCAGCTTAACGACCGTGATTATGATTATCATAATTGATGTGCAAGTGCAGTGTGTGGGGATCATTACAGCTGAACTGTACAGCAGAGAAACATGCCTCAGTTATGGATAATTTTACTTTTATGCATTGATTGGGATAAAATATGCCTTTCTATTTAAACAGACCAGCTTCATATGATTTTAAGAATCTTTCTGTACATGTTGATTGATGATTATGCACTTGCTGAAAAACAGCCCCTTACAGTTGTTTGTTTTGTGTTGTTTCGTTTCATTAGTAAATGTAAACAATTAAATAATTAGGTGTAATTGAGGGAAAATATTTTGCTTATGAGGATGGCCTTCAATAATCAAGTATTCAGTTTAAGTGTTTTTTTTTTTTTCTCTCTTTCTCTCTCACAGTATACCAGGGACTGAAATTCTTCCATTTTTTTTTCCTATGATTACCCTTGTACCAGTCTTCTTGAGGTCACTAGGCTTCAGGGAAAATAATGTTTAAATAATTTTTATTATAGATCTCTAGATGTATTTGCATATGTGTATATTTATATATACTCTATTACGTACTTTAGAAAACTGAATGGAGCCAAATATTATTTATCAAAATAATATTAAACCTATAGAATAATGTTAAGATATGTATATTTGCACTACCTTTGCTTTTTAACCACCACCTTGTTTCTGATAGATTTATTATATTGTGTAGTAATTTTCAGTTATACTTTTACAAAGGATTTCTGATTTGAATTTTAACTTGTGGATGAAAATAATATGTGCAGTGATGTATCCAAGATTTTCAGTAGATTAGATCTGACTGTATTAGTTTATGATTATTAACCTAAGGGCTTAATTTGCATTTGAGTCTAAAATATTACATTTGAGTGATGAACAAACATAATGGAACATATTTCATAAAGCCTGCTAAGCCATTAAAAAAAAACTTCTATTTTGTAACTGCAGTCAAGT